TAATACACACTAGGTTGGTCTGAATACCTCGCCACTTTTAAAAAGTGGTACTTAACAAGATTTACTATAACTTGGTGGTTGAACTGACAAGATTTACTGTAGTTTGGTGTTTCACCCGCTGTGCTATAGTCCGGCTCCTATTGAGTTATAATGCTGGGAAACTAGCATCATTTCCCCACTCATGCATGCAAGCAACATTGGATCACCTTGGGCAAGTCATTCCTTCTCAGCATTAGAGAAAAGCAACAACAAACTTCCTTCAAAGAAATCTTGCCAAGAAAAACCTATGATAGGTTTTCCATAAGCTAAGAGTTGGCATGAAGGCATGTAACAACAACTCTCCACTGATGTCTTTAATGAGAAAATGCATTGATGGTAGAAACCTGAGGAGATGCAATATGTTATATAAAATATTTGGTTTTCCTAACAAAACCCTGGCCCCTAGAGTTAACTGGATCCAGATAGTCCACAATACGCTCAAATAACCTTTTGCTCCCACCTATTGATTTTCAGAATGCAGACCAATTCTTCCCTTTATATCCTTGCCCATATCTTTCAAAGCCTCTATGTCAGGGGTGACATCCCAGGCATAGAATCCAGCCTGACCAGAACACAGGTAGTGAAAATATCAAACCTGTAGCTGAGACATATTAACATCTAGAACAGGTAGTCATAACCTGTGCTGACATTCTCCTCAGCTTGTAATCCATTCCTTATCTCATATCCTACACACTAACTCTTTCTGTCATATAATCCATCTGTTATATTAACTTATTCATTAATATTTCCAATTGATACTGATACCACCTATCATTCCATTATGGTGCCTAATATTGATCAATCTTCCATTCTTTCTTTGGAGTGGCATCGAGACATGTTCATACTTAGACAGAACCCATTGCAAACAATATGGTTTCTTTATAAAAGGTAAAGGTAAAGGTAGTCCCCTGACATTAAGTCCAGTCGTGTCTGACTCTGGGGGTTGGTGCTCATCTCCATTTCTAAGCCGAAGAGCCAGCGTTGTCCGCAGACACCTCCAAGGTCATGTGACCGGCATGACTGCATGGAGCCCCCGGTGGCACAGTGGGTTAAAGCACTGAGCTGCTGAGCTTGTTGATCGAAAGGTCGCAGGTTCGATTCCGGGGAGCGGCGTGAGCTTCCGCTGTCAGCCCTAGCTTCTGCCAACCTAGCAGTTCGAAAACATGCAAATGTGAGTAGATCAATAGGTACCGCTCCAGCGGGAAGGTAATGGTTTCTTTATGTCTGCACTAAATGTGATGAAGTCTAGATACAGCCCTGTGTTACAGACATTACCAGCGATGTTGCCTTATATCAGTGGTTGCCATCCTGTGGGTCCCCAGGTGTTTGGCTTATAACTCCCAGAAATCCCTTATGAGGAGCGGTTTAAAGAGCTGGGCATGTTTAGCCTGCAGAAGAGTAGGTTGAGAGGAGACATGATGAGGGCCATGTATATGTTAGGGGAAGTCATAGGGAGGATCGAGCAAGTTTGTTTTCCTGAGTGGAATAGCAGACAGAACAATGGCTTCAAACTACAAGAAAGGAGATTCCATCTGAACATTAGGAAGAACTTCCTGACTGTGAGAGCCGTTCAGCAGTGGAACTCTCTGCCCCAGAGTGTGGTGGAGGCTCCTTCTTTGGAGGCTTTTAAACAGAGACTGGATGGTCATCTGTCAGGAGTGCTTTGAATGCAATTTTCCTGCTTCTTGGCAGGAGGTTGGACTGGATGGCCCACAAGGTGTCTTCCAACTGAGTGATTCTAGGGGAGTGCACAGCTGTAGCAAGGCAATGTAGAGAATGTCAGTTTGGTTCAATTGATAAAAGCTTAATCAGTTTCTTCTATCCTTCCCCAGAGAAAATGACTGTTTCTTTGTTCTGTCTGTGTCTTCAGGCTGCTATGGGCATTGCTCATCTGATAGTTATGGCTCTTGAGAAAGAAGGCATTCCGAGAGAAGAAGCTGTTAAAAAAATCTGGATGGTGGACTCCAAGGGTCTCATTGTCAAGGTACTCCTGAAGATATAGGCCTATTTTTGTTCTTTTATATAGTAGAAAGTATAGTATTGTGTTGTCAAAGGCTTTTGTGGCTGGAATCACTGGGTTGCTATGAGTTTCCCAGGCGGTTTGACCATGTTCCAGAAGCATACTCTCCTGTCGTTTCACCCACACCTATGGCAGGCATCCTCAGAGGTTGTGAAGTCAATGTATTGTCGAAGGCTTTCATGGCCAGAATCACTGGGTTGTTGTAGGTTTTTTCAGGCTATATGGCCATGTCTAGAGGCATTTTCTCCTGACGTTTCGCCTGCATCTATGGCAAGCATCCTCAGAAGTCTGAGGATGCTTGCCATAGATGCAGGCAAAACATCAGGAGAGAATGCCTCTAGAGCATGGCCATATTGCCTGAAAAAACCCTACAACAACCCAGTTGTGAAGTCAGTTGTGAAGTCAGTTGTGAAGTCAGGTTTACTTATCAGTGGAATGTCTAGGGTGGAAGAAATCACTCTTGTCTGCTTGAGGCAAGTGTGAATGTTGCAGTTGACTACCTTGATTAGCATTTAATGGCCTTGTAGCTTCAAAGTGTGGTTGATTGCTGCCTGGGGGAACCTTTGTTGGGAGGTGTTAGCTGGCCCTGATTGATTCCAAGCAAGAATCAATCAGGGCCAGCTAGTACCTCCCAACAAAGAATTCCCTCAGGCAGCAACCAGCAGGCTTTGAAGCTGTAAGGCCATTCAATGCTAATCAAGCTGGCCAATTGCAACATTAACACTTGCCTCAAACAGACAAGAGCTCTTTCTCCCACCCTGGACATAATTCCAGAGATATATACCTCACTTGCCTTGTTTTTAACAGACCTTACAAGCTCTGAGTATACTTACCATATATGTGGGCGAAACGTCAGGAGGGAATGCTTCTGGAGCATAGCCATACAGCCCAGAAAGCTCACAGAAATCCAAGTATGGTTTTTGTGTGTATTGTTTATCTCACAGGGTAGAAGTCACTTGAATCATGAAAAGGAGATGTTTGCCCAGGATCATCCCGGTGTGAAGACCCTCGAAGAAGTAGTGCGGACAGTAAAACCAACAGCCATTATTGGTAAGTGATAAAATCTGCACAGGATTGTATGAGGCAAAATGAAGGCATTGCCCCTCCAAAGAAGAATTCTGCCGCAGTGATGTCTTCTTCAGTGCCCAAATTTTTAGTATCAAAGAAAGTGAAACCATGGTAATCATTCACACCTAAGAACTCATATCTGCTGTTGTTTGCATTTCCTTGATTTCTTCTTCTGCTCCTTTTCTTTGAACACCTAAACAGTACATCAAAATGCTCGACTGACATTTTATATTATCACAATAACGTTAAATGCCAAAACTGTACCTCTAGATTTAGACTTTAGGCTTTCCTTTGCCACCTCCATTCACTCCATCCTTGCACCTTTCTGCTTTCCCACCAGTGTTTTGTTTTGCTCTCTTACCTTCTAACCACATGTGGAAATATTACCTATTTCCACTCCCAAGAGGTAAAAAAGAGATGTCTTACATGAGTATTACTGGCTCTCTGTATGCACGGATTCTACCATTGGGCGAGTAGGCTTATTAACCAAGGACCCTCCTCATGAATGTACAGTAGAGTAACTTATCACCAGCAGCATGACCCAACACCAGTAGCCCAAAGTGATAAAAAAGAACAAAAACATACAGACCAATGTTATATCTTCCATAGGAGTCTTTTCTTTTTAGTAAAATAATATGGTTCACTATTTACAAGAACAAGGTTTCCATAACACGAACAAAGTTCTTTATACTTCCTTATTTGCTTCCACACTGGGCTTCTTTCTCATGTAGATAAACAGCTTCGCTCACACAGAGCCTCCTCTCACACTGAAGTTATACAGTAGCTTCACACAGTAGCTTTTTATACACACACATACATTGGCCTTCAACCTGGGGCTTCTCTCATCAAAGCTTCTCACACCAGGCCTACTCACACCAAGTGTGCTGACACGCACTGGGCCTATAGCAATTGTCTTTTAAAACAGGACATGCTCTTTGTGCCCAGCGGGACGCCGGGGTGCCTCGGCTGAGAGGCCCTATGGATTTTCCTAAACAAAGTCTTTAGAAACTTGGAAAGTTTAACAAAGTTGTTTATTATTGGGTTGTTGTAGATTTTTTCGGGCTATATGGCCATGTTCTAGAGGCATTCTCTCCTGACGTTTCGCCTGCATCTATGGCAAGCATCCTCAGAGGTAGTGAGGTCTTTTCTTTATTATTGCTTAGATCTTCAACAAAACACACAAATTCTTCTTAACTTGCCCACAAAGGACAGGCAGCTTGCTTCGTGAACTATTTCTTTCTTTTACAAGGAAAACCCTCCGACCCCTCCCTGGGCAATCTGTCTTTAGGCTGTCTGGCGTGGGGTCTTACTGCTGGTTCCAATTTGCTTTTTGGGTACCCGAGTAAACCTTACCGGCCAAAACTTTAGAGATTTTCCAGCTGGAGACCTTTGGATCTGTAAAACTGTTTTCTTCAGAAGCTTTAGGGCTGTCTTCCCCAGAGGCTTGTAGAGCTGTGAGGCTGTAAGTTCCCCAGCCAGAGCTTTGAGAACTGTCTTCCCCAGAAAGCTTTGGGACTATTTCCCCCCGGAGCTTTGTAAGAAACGGAGCTTCTCTACAGGTGGGAAAAGCTCTCATGTCCTGTAACTGAGCTTCTAAACTGTAAGACTGAACTAAAAACTTTCTTTTCCCTCCCAGAACCCTGGGGAAAGGGGCGGAACTAAAGAACTTAACAATGATAGGCAGGTGGCTGGCCCTATGGCTGCAGCCTGGAAGGAACCACCCAACTGCAAAATGCATGGCCAAAACAAACACATGCATAGAAAGGAAATTTAGCCTTCTGGTACAGCTGGTACACCAAGGCCTACTCACACTGAGGCCTACTCACACTGAGGCTGACCTGACACTGAAGCCTTTCTCCCACTTAGGGCTTATCACACTGAGGGCTCTCTCACACTGAGGCTTTTCTACCACTGAGGTGAACTAACACTGAGGCCTACTACCACACTGAGGCTTTTCACAGACTGAGGGCAACTAAGCTACAGGCACACCTGCTTATATTGAACTGCAGCTTTTGTTGTCTCATTCCAACCATTTAAACTTTCCAGTGCTCACATTCTTGTAATTAAAATACTTAGTTAATATTTAATATTTCTGACATCTACACCCACAGATTCCACCACCCATGATGTGAAAATGTTCCAAATTTATATTTAAGTGAACCTTGATTTTACCTTTTTGACACATAATGGGATTTGAGCATCCAAGGATTTTGGTATACACTGGGAGATATGAAACCCAATCCAAAGGATACCAGGGAAATAATCAAAATATAACTTACGCAATCATTGCAGAACTGCCCTTTAACACCACAATGAGAATAGATGGGGAAACCTGTGGATGGTAATCCACTCCCACTACAATTTAAAAAGGATATGTGTGGCATTTGTGGACCAGGAAAATGTGCGTTGAAGCAGATTTTCCCCCTGATTCTACAAAAAAAAAAAACCTATTATATCAACATCTTTCTTTACCTTAGTTTTATAAGTGCTACAAGATTCCATTCTAAGCTCCAATATAAGGATTTATAGCTATTTATTGTATGGGCAGATCTGTAATTGTTTCTCCAAAGAAATCTCCTCTCTCACTACATCCTGTCCCCAAACATCACCTCTTCTACATTTTGTACATTCCAGAGCCTAACCAGTTGTTGTCAGGCTCTTTGGGTGTATTTGTGTATTTTTAAAAATATGTTCCTTTTAATTTACAGACTTGTATACTTTTTCCATACCTAAGGAGTCTGCCAAATATATAGAAACCACTCCCTTGTTTTTGTTTTTGTACAGCTTTGTTTTGCTTCCAAACACATACCTTCCAAACTTCCTCCTCCCAAGATCGCTATTAGATGGAATGATGAACGGAATGATAGGCTTCTTAGAAGAAGCCAAGATCAAGTACACAATTATTTTTGTCAAAAGCAGACAATGGGAACAAACAGATTGTTCAGTTTTGCTTTGGGTTTTGAAAAAAGAGCTGAAAAATTACAGTTTGGACCCAAAAAGCATAGCTGAAGTGTGACCTCGGAGTAATATATTTTGCGTTGCAATCTGGGGCAGTAATCTGAACATTCCTGTTCTAGCTGAGAGTATTGTTATTCAATCATTTCATGCCGCATTCAATCATTTCATGCCTCCAGTGGTGTAGAGTGTCTGCACCCTACACCACTGGAGAAATTACACTTAGCCGGTACTGCTTAGCCGGTATTGCACCACCTGACATCTGCCGGGAAGTAGCAACCAATAGTGAAAGGACCAAGGCAGTGACGTCTCCAGCTCATCCCTTGTTTGGATATCAGCCAGCACGTCAACAACTTAAATCAAGAAATAGTTTTTTAAGATCTACAGAGACACTCACTGGAACACCTCAGCAAGCAAGAGTTCAAAAGTGGCAGGCTCAAACCCAGAACCTCAATCCGTGGGTGATACCCAATGAGAGACTCCCCCCTGGGCACAGAGAAAACTGGCCAACATGGAAGGCATTGAACAGACTGCACCACGAGATGCAGAGCCAACCTTAAGAAATGGGGCTACAAAGTGGAATCCACGACATGCGAGTGTGGAGAAGAGCACACCACAGACCACCTGCTGCAATGCAACCTGAGCCCTGCTACATGCACAATGGAGGACCTTCTTGCGGCAACACCAGAGGCACTCCAAGTGGCCAGATACTGGTCAAAGGACATTTAATCAACTACCAAGCTTGCAAACTTTGTGTTTTGTTTGTTTGTTTGTTTGTTTGTTTGTTTAAAAAATGCAATACAACTGTTTGGTCTGCTCCTGACACGATAAATAAAAATCATTTCATATTTCTTTCCCCATCATGGAATGATAAGAGTTGGAAGAGATCACAAGGGTCATCCACTCCAACCCCATTATTCCATGCAAGAATACATGATCAAAGCACTCCCAACAGATGGCTGTCTAGTCTCTGTTTAGAAACCTTCAGAGAATAAGATTATGTTGTTGTTTATTCATTCAGTTGCTTCCAACTCTTCATGAGCTCATGGACCAGCCCAGGCCAGAGCTCCCTGTCGGCCGTCACCACCCCCAGCTCCTTCAAGGTCAATCCAGTCACTTCAAGGATACCATCCATCCATCTTGCCCTTGGTTGGCCCCTCTTCCTTTTTCCTTCCATTTTCCCCAGCATCATTGTCTTCTCCAAGCTTTCCTGTCTTCTCATGATGTGGGCAAAGTACTTTATCTTTGCCTCTAATATCCTTCACTCCAATGAGCAGTAGGGCTTTATTTCCTGAAGTGTGGACTTGTTGGATCTTCTCATGGTCCAAGGCACTCTCAGAAGATTCTACCATGCTCCAAAAAAAACAACAACCCCATGACTTTTGCCTTCAAGAAGATTTCTCTAATGTTTTAGTGGACTCTCTTTGCCTGCAATTTGAAGTCCCCTAAAAAGAGTACTTTGGAAATTTAAGAGATCCATGAAATGAATTAGGCTGAAATACAACTTACATGCAGCCCCCTAAATCATTTATACAATCTGGTTTATTCTGTTTATTGTTTTGTTTTGTTTTTTTTAGGTGTGGCTGCCATTGCTGGAGCTTTCACTGAACAAATTTTGAAGGACATGGGGACGTTCAATGAGAGGCCAATTGTGTTTGCCCTCAGTAACCCCACAAGCAAAGCTGAGTGCACAGCTGAACAGTGTTACCACTTGACAGAGGTAAGACCATCTCTGGGTCTGCTTTTAAATACATCTTTATCATTTTGCTGTTGCAAGACAATCCTTTCTTTCCTTTTGTACAGTACGGAACAAGCTTCACAACCCTTTTCTTGCTCTGTTTTCAGGGACGAGGGATATTCGCCAGTGGAAGCCCATTTCCAAAAGTGACCCTACCAAATGGGCAGACCTTCTTCCCTGGACAAGGGAACAACGCTTACGTTTTCCCAGGTCTTGCTCTGGGAGTTATTGCTTGTGGGGTCCGGCACATCTCTGATGACCTCTTTCTCACCACTGCAGAGGTTTGGGTTCTTCTTATATTCAAAGTAGTTGTTATTGTCCAGAAACTTTGTTTTGTGACTGCCACAAACTGTGTTGAATTGGTTGAGATTCATTGGAAAACTTTAGCAACATATACTGCAGGATGTCTTTATTAATGACTTAGATGAAGGGCTAGATGGCAGGATTATCAAGTTTGCAGATGACACCCAATTGGGAGGGATAGCCAATACTCCAGAGGACAGGAGCAGGATTCAAAACGATCTTGACAGATTAGAGAGATGGGCCAAAACTAACAAAATGAAGTTCAACAGTGACAAATGCAAGATACTCCACTTGCAGAAAAAATGAAATGCAAAGATACAGAATGTATATTGGGGGTAGATTTGTGTGTGAAAAAGATCTTGGAGTCCTCGTGGACAACAAGTTAAACATGAGCCAACAATGTGATGTGGCAGCAAAAAAAGCCAATGGGATTTTGGCCTGCATCAATAGGAGCATAGTGTCTAGATCTAGGGAAGTAATGCTACCCCTCTATTCTGCTTTGGCTAGACCACACCTGGAATATTGTGTCCAATTCTGGGCACCACAATTCAAGAGAGATATTGACAAGCTGGAATGTGTCCAGAGGAGGGCGACTAAAATGATCAAGGGTCTGGAGAACAAGCCCTATGAGGAGCGCTTAAGGAGCTGGGCATGTTTAGCCTGAAGAAGAGAAGGCTGAGAGGAGATATGATAGCCATGTATAAATATGTGAGAGGAAGCCACAGGGAGGAGGGAGCAAGCTTGTTTTCTGCTTCCCTGGAGACTAGGACACGGAACAATGGCTTCAAACTACAAGAAAGGAGATTCCATCTGAACTATGAGGAAGAACTTCCTGACTGTGAGAGCCGTTCAGCAGTGGAACTCTCTGCCCTGGAGTGTGGTGGAGGCTCCTTCTTTGGAAGCTTTTAAACAGAGGCTGGATGGCCATCTGTCACGGGTGATTTGAATGCAATATTCCTGCTTCTTGGCAGGGGGTTGGACTGGATGGCCCATGAGGTCTCTTCCAACTCTTTGATTCTATGATTTTATGTGCTGCAAAACCAAAGTTTTTGTAGTTTCATAAACTTTTACAATGTTTTCATGATACAGAACCAGTTAGGAAATGACATTTATAACCCAGGAACAAAAATTGTGTTACATAGTGTAATGCAACAAATTATCTAGACAAGTAATTGAGTTCTGTTTTTTTGGACATCTTCAAAAAGAGGCCTATAGCAGTCCCCCAGCTATGGGTCCTCCAGCTATTTGGGATATCATTTCGCAGAATTTCTTACCATTGGCCTGGAGAATGGAGTTGGTTACATAACAATGTATAGGTAAAGGTAGATTAACAATGTATAGGTAAAGGTAAAGGTTTTCCCCAGACATTAAGTCCAGTCGT